AAGTACAATTAATTAATATTATTTTTTAAGAAAATAAATTTGAAGTCTCACTGTTTTTTCCATCTGCATGCTATGCACTGTGTAACCCGTGAACTCTAAGGCACTGTTTATAATCAGATATTTCATTAGGAAGCATTACTGTGGTGTTCATTCCCATCTTTATTACTTCTAGAAAGAGAATATGAAATTAGTTTCATTGGATTGCCATCGCCACTTGCCTTGACCCATTTTTACTGGGGCTCCATGTTCTGCTGTTTTGTATTTCATTGTCATTTCTAAAATATTTGTTCCCTTCCATCCCTCACAAAATGACAAAATTAGTATTTCATTTACTTTTGTGGTATGTTATTTTCTGCATATTTAAAGAGAGACCACAATGTTTGCAGTGAACACACAATACAAAAGAGCTTTCCTACAGCTTTCTGCTATGTCTTCTTTTATTTACTAATGTTCTTCCACAATTTATGATCTAAACTATTATAAATATAAATTGCCAGATTTGTCTAAATCAAAGCTTCTAGGAAAAAAAGGGTGGAGGGATGTAATTTTAAAAAGTTGACAAAAGTAACAGTGTACCAGAAAGCATGTGAAAACCATTCCTGTTTCTTTAAAGTCAACATTTGACTGCTCTTAAATCAATATGTACCTACCAGCTTCAGCAGATCTATCTGTCAGCTTACGCAGAAAACGAAAGGCAAGGTTTCCCTGCTCTCGGAATAGTAGGTACTTTGCTGCAGTGGTGGCTCATTACTCCAGAGAACCGGCTTATCCAACCCCACTCTTTGATTCATCGTTTTCCCAACTGAGTCAGGTTTCTCTGCCCCAGCAATTAACAATGAATTAGCACTATATTAAAGTGCCAGGCAAGATGGTTACTCTCTGGAGTGGTCACCTTGGACACAGCAGATGAATAGTGGGAGAAGGGAGAGAAATTAGATTTACTGTGTCCCAGCATGTCTGTAACCAACACCGAATCCCCGGTCGGCAACGGGAAGCATCTGTAACAGCAGTAACACTCCAGAAAGGTCCAATGCCACCAAATAGTCTGGGAGCGGTGGGAAGTAGTAAGGGATGGAAAAAGGGTACCCTCACCTCTGCAGAGCAGGAAGCTGAACACAGAAGCAGTCTGTGCAACATAAGAAGAGCCAGGCCGGAGCAGATCAAAGGTCCAGCCAGGATCCCACATCTCATGGTGGTGGAAGAGGATGAGAACAGGGCAAAAATATAATAATGCTTTCCAGCATACCCTCCCATCCTCCGGGAACCCATGGCTCAGGCACTCTGTGAATCTGAGGTGGTGTCCTTGTGGTACCCAGCTAGCAGCAAACTCACAGGTCTCTTCCCACCACAGCACTTAGTGATTACACCACATGGTGCAGGATGGGAGGGAGAAAGAGCCACTTAGTGCACACCTGAATGTCCTCAAAAACCAAGCAAGAGGCTGTGGCGAGCTCAGCCTGCATGCACAGCAACACATAGATGTAGCGTGGATGCTCTGCAACCAGCATGTGGAGGAAAATCCCCACTCCAGCACGTCTGCATGGTCACACCCGATGCTGCCAGAAAACACAGCCCATGTCACAGAACGCCACAGTGCTCACATTTTATGACTCTTCAGCACAATAACAAATAAATCAAGCGTGCAGTGAGGAATTTCTTGTGCACTGAGCTTCCACTATAGACATTTTTCATTTCAGAAACAGGAAAATACTTGATTAAATGGATTAATATATGAATGATGGGAAAAATCTAATGGAAGAGAGAAAAAATGAAAATATTTCTTTTTAAAGCCCTGAACCTAAAGCTAAACAGTGAGATACAGGCTAGTAATACCGAACAGAGGACAATAACCTGCCACAAAAGAAACAACAATCGCTTAACCAAGTTGCGTCCAGCTCATCTTCTACAGCACTACAACAACGGCCCCACTGCACACACCCAGCCGTCAGAGGACGGAAACCATACCTGGCCTTGGGGACATTCTCTCACTGAAGGTGTGCTCAACCTTGTAATCAGCAAGTGAGCTACACAAAACCCATCACAATTAAATCTTTGCCATTTCCAAGAAGCCATACTGGGGAAAAGACTGAAATCTACCCATCCATTATCTTTTGCTTGGTCATGCCTCTGGTGATGATAACCAGGACTTTCTTCCAAGTCCTTTAGTCTGACAGAGGGCCATCCCCAGCCCAGAGAGCACTCCATTGGGATGGCAGGGAGCTCTGACTGCACCCTCGGGCACCCTGTTTCCAGGCTCTCCCATTCTCACAGCTGGAGGAGCAGGAGACTCAGGCATGAGACACAAGTTACCACACACATGTCAAATCCATCAGAGCAGACAGAAAGATGAGGTGGGCAGAGAGAGAAAGAGCAGAGGTAAGAGCCTCCTGCCTGCTTCGGTGTTACAGTACTGCATCTGCTGTTACCCACAGCGCTGAGCGCTGCTACTTGCATCTTCTTCAAAGGGCTGTCATCTTGACATCAAGGCTGCAGGTAGGGGCTTGACTTACAGTGCACTTTGCACTAGCAAAGCCTGCAAAGCAAAGTAGGTCAGGGACTGAACCTCTTGGATGTTTCCACCCCCTGCTAAAATGGAGCCAGGCACCATGGCAGACATTCTGCACCCACCACTGCTTTGAGAAGGAAATGAGAGTTGCTTTTCCACTTGACACTACAGGGAGAATTTCAGATAGGCAGAATGTAATTACTTGGCCTGGAGTTCAGCCAGGAGCGGGGTCCAAGACCCCTACCTGTATGTAAAGTGTCACAAAATCTCCAATGACTGCAAGTGTGAGGACCTCAGCTTTACGTCTCTGGCTGCTGTCATTGATTCTTCATGGCTAATTACCTAATAGTGACCCTTGCAGCAAAGCCAAAAAACAAACCTTGTTGCTTGAAACAATTCAAGTCCCAGAGACCAAAAACAACACAAAAATTGCTTGGTGCAGAGTATCTTTTGACAGTAGGGAGCAGGTGGACAGCAAGCCTCCTGCGTCTTGCATGGGTAGCGTGCCACTCAGAAACCTACTGGGGTTTTTGGATGGGCAAACAAAGCTTTAAAATGCAAGACCCCCAAAACACAAGCCTACTGTATCAACTGTATACCAGAGTCTCCAGAGTTTTGCTGCATGTAGTTGCCAGCTGGTTCCATTTATTTTTCTTCATTTTTCATATTTTGACTGTAATAAATAATTAATCCATGGCTTTGTAACTTGCTGACAAATACAAATGCATCGCATTCCAACACAGTGTAACATGTCACTCACAAGAGCCAACCTGCGTAATGCAGAAAAGTGATGTGCAGAAGGCTTTGGAAAGTAGGCTAATGATCAAGGTCACCCACAAGAGCTTAGGAAAACTTTTTCTTCAAATTGTCCCTTAGAGGATATTCCTACGTGATGCAGGCACCAGACGTGGGTAAATATGTTCAAATCTACACAGGTCTAGTTGTCTTCCCACATGTTAGCTCAGCCCTCTACCCTTTTGCAGCTTCTTGCCTCCAAGATCCCATGAACTTTTGGGAAAATGGAAGACAAGACTTGCAATGTTAACTACTTAGAGCACTCCTCCTACTTTACAGAATCTGAACCCCAAGGAACACATTTTTTCTTCCAGGCAAAGACTGAATAAAAAGCAAGGAGGAAGTTGGTAGCAGAAGAGACAAAGGAGAGTGAACTAGGCAATAATTAATCTGGGTGAGACCAACATGTTTCAGAAAGGGCAGGACAACAAGACAGAAAAACCTCCCACCTTTGCAAAAAGGTGACTAGATAGCTGGCAGCGGTGCTAGCAGCAGCAGAACAAGAGCAGTGACAAAGAATAGAGGCTGAATGCCAAGGTTCACAGCAAGAGTAGCAAAGCAGTGCAAGCCACCATCAAATGACAAAGGGGAGAGCAAAGGTGGGGGGAGGAACTGTGAGATTATCAGGGAGAAAAGCAGTACAGATGACTCTGAGAGCAGTCATGCAGTGAGATCAGGTGAATGGCACCAAGCACAATGGTCTGCTGTGGAAGGTGTCACCTCAACTTTTTAGAGTGAAAAAACATCTCCTAAGCCTCTCTTGACCATCTGCAAAGGTCTGGATTTCTGACATGCATCACTAGGAATATCAGGAATACACATAATGCTGATTTTCTCTTCTGACTGAAGCTGGAACTGCAAAGATGAAAAATCTTGTAGTATTTTCGCTTCAATTTCTCTGCGCATATTTGTATCTATTTATTTCTCATCCTTATTAAGACCTGAGACAAAGATAAGTGCACAAACCAAAAATTCATACTAGTCACAAAGGTTGTAGAGAGGAGCAAAACAATTCTGAGGAGGCTGTGAAATGAAGGTCTGTTCCACACAAAATACTCACCATAGTCATTTTAGAAGTACTTTTAAGTTTCAGTGAATATATAAAAAACACTTCTCCATGTTACACTCTTCAAAACTCATGTGTTACCCATGCATGGAGAAACTTCCTCTCATATCCTCCTACTTTTCCTGGAGTGTTATCTGGCTCCTTTGATCAAAAGCAAATACACGGCTGCAGCTGCCTGTTGGCCACCGTTTGAGAGGGGTATCAGGGGTGCTCAGGTTCTGTGACAAGCGAGTGACCAGGTCCCCACTCCTGTTCTGCTTCCTAAATAACTGCACACTTCTTGCTGTTGCTGAGGAACTCACTTGTACTTCTCTAAACGTTGACAGCTTTAGACAGCTAAATTGTGTTTCCACCACAACACAACTACTGACACCAAGGGAGCTCCATAACATCACTACTAACTGACCTTGCTGTTATCGGTGGCATGGGTTGTGACATCCCTTCTCTTCAACCACCAACATAAACCTGCACACACTGACACACATGCTGCAACACACACACAGTGAGCTCTGAACTTGAGAACTGGTGTGTCTCAACCTGCAAAGCAGAAAGAAGCTGCAACCAGTTGCTTCTCTCTACCTTTGACAGCTGTTCCCCCCACCAGACATCTGAGAAGGAAGTTAGTGCTCTGACCTGCACCGGCTCAGGCGTGAGCTGGACAACATGCTGCATACGCTCACTGTGGTGATGTCTGGACTCTTCCTCATAGATCACATCCCTCTCGTGCTGGGGAAGGTTCAGGAAGCGGCGAATGGTGCAGAGGTTCTCCCAAAGGGTGCGGTTTTCTGGACTCGGGTTTTCTTTCCAGCGAAGCAGCTCACACAGCCAGCCCTGCAACGGTAGGGTCAGCACAGTTAATTCACTGAGCACTGAGGAACCAGATGCGAGTGGAAGGTCAGCTAGACTTAAGTCTGTGCTGCAAGTTTTGCTGGTCTCATCTCACACAGAACACCCCCTACACTCAGCGGCCCTTTGGTCTCAACAGATACTTGATATATTTCCTGCAAGCTGGAGAAACAAACACAACCAGCAGTGCTTAAAAAGAACCACAAAGCACAGCATCTTGCCCCCTGTCACAATCACACGACATTTAAAATGCTCAGATATAAATACTTTTCCTATAGAAAACCAGAGTTGAAATAAAGGTGCATCTCCACTTTGGTTTCAGAGCCCCTTTATTTCTTCATCTAAGCAAGAGAAAAGGAGACGTAACCCCTGAGGCTTGCTAACAAGCCTCATGCTAAGGGTTGCAGCTGTAGGACCAGAAATTCAACCACTGCTGAAAATGTTTAGAAGATACTATCAAGTAAAGACCTCTGATCTGCTGTCACTATGTTGCATTGACTCCCTCAGCTCTAAGCCCCACTAAAATTTGACAGCTTTAAATAATCAAATGGCCACTTAGAAGATGCAACCTTACAGAAAGGGAATCCTTGAGTATTTAGCACAAAAGCAGCAAACAGGGTCCTGCAGAAGTTACCAGACAGATCAAGATACTAGAGGGAGGCAATTCTAAACCCAACTACAGATCATAATAATAGTACATTTTATTCCTCCTATATAGCTTCAAGGTTAGTTTGAAATGCCTTCAAAGAGGTCGCGCTGTATGAAATCCTGTAGGATCTCTCCCCAGGGGTTGAGAGCTCAGACCCCTAGAGGGGAAAGGACCAGTGCTTCGGGAAGAGGAAACCACTCTAAACTACAAAGCCAACCAGAGAGTGCAGTGGCAGTAGCTGCTAAGGTGAGGACAGCCCTGCTTATGTGGTGTGTGCGTGGCACTGAGCAGCATCCCCAGCAGGTTTCCCAGGGCCGATGGCTTTTGCTGCGCCTGCCCGGGGTGGGGGGACACAGCCAGCCCTGCCAGCAGCCAGCCTCGCCTGGGGCCGGGGACAGTGACTCCCCTCCTGTGCCTGTGCACAGGAGATGCAATGCAAAAGACAGAATATGAGAAGATAATGCTGAGGATGCTGTCAACGCGCCTTACTGACTCCTGTCAAAATATTTTACCTAGTAGCTTTATAACCCATAATTTTCGAGCTACAACTCAGCATTTTGACACCATTTTGACAGGCACCTTACAATACCTAAAAGATAGCTTGATCAATGTTAAAAATGTTCAGTAGAAGTACCCAAAACTGTATTTTTCCAAACAGCGACCAGAGCAAGCTGAACAGCCAGGTTCATTACCAGCCCATGTCGGGGTTTTTGATACCGCTTTTTTGTGAAACAACTTGTAAGCCATCGACAACTTCTACCGTGCACTCTAAACTCCGTATGTAATATCATAAGCCACTGTTTGCCTTACTCTCCACTGTGTCTTCTGCCTTTGCCCCCCCAAAAAAGCAAGATTCGATTATCTCCGCTGCATCAGCCAAGACAGCAACACCAGCTGTTCTCATTGTGCAGCCTCTTCCTCACGGCCTACATGTTAATAACCTGATCATTCCATTTTCTCCTTCAACTGCCGGCTGCAGCACAGCGAAGAGACAAAAACCCAGGCCCATCTGCAGCAGCTGTAGGCACTGAACTGTGAAGCCACCAGGGATTTATAAACTAATCTGTAACACAACACTGCCTTGTTTTTACAAGTGAGAGGCCACATTTGTGCAGACCTGATCTTTTCTTGCAATAAACTAGGAGGGTGGGGGGGAAGGCAAGGATGAAAACAAGATACCTCATTATTTACTTAGGGGAAAAAAAAATCTGTATTATATTTTCAAAGTATTTTGACTGGTATTTGGGTAATCTCTCAACCAGGTGATGTCTGCATGTTGATATGGTTTGGCCACATTC